CTTTTCTTTTATATTGCCAACACTTCAATCGTTCAATTGTTGGATGTCGTAGTTTCCACAAAAAGGAACATATCGCTTCTCACAGGTGAGATAGTTGCTTGTTTTGTTAGTCCGTCAACTTTTGAAAAGCAATTATACATGCACTTGAAAAGCCATAAAATACATATTAAAGATCGTATTTTTTAGATCGGCTAACTTGAACGCCAATCATACTGATGTTTTCCTGTTTTTGTCTATAAAATTCTGAATACTTTTCTGTCATTTGTTAATGGATGAAATAGTAAATTTACCCATCTATTTGCAAAATAGTTTCCTTAAAGCAAAAAAGACCCTGCACACATTTTGCTTCGTGAGTAAGTATCAAAAAGAAACGATCAGCCCAAACAGTACCCATGATTTGGAGCAGATCTTGTTATGTTCTATTTGCTGACAACATGCAGGGAAGATCAAGGAGTAAAGATGACTGGAAGATGTTATTGACCAGGCAGTCTTAAAAAAATGATAATGCTGTAAAGATAATTGATTTATTGTCTGCCTTATCCAGAGTTATTTAATTTGATCATGGTCAAATTCTATGGATGGAGACAATGGATTCACTAATGATGCCTTGAATGTTTTGAAGTTAAGTTCATGAACCAAAGAAAGATGGCAAGAAGGTTGTGTGTGTTTTGATGCTTAATGAAATGTCAATTCACAAACATATAAAATGGGAAGGCCATGAAGTTTGTGCCTATGTAAACATTTGTCCTGTGATTGATGATGACTTGATGCAGATGTGAAGCATTAAACTGTATAAGCCATTGGGTTTTATATAACTTAATGTTTAAATCATGTCATATCTTTATCGAAATATTTTAGTAGAGTGTTGTTTAAATGTTACTAATATCTAATGCACTGTACTGAAGCATCAAAGATTCAGTGATGAAACCTTTAAAATTACTGTACTGTATATTTCTTATATATTTCTTATATTTCGGTAAGAAACAGTTTGAGCTTATTTACCTATTAAAGTACAGAATGGAGATTTAACATATGCATTATTGCTGTTTTTTTAAAAAAAGTTTTTTCACTTTTCAAAGCTTTTCTACAATTTTTTGCTTCTTATTTCTTTTCATGAGATTGATGATATATGGTTAATATAATCCAATAACTTTATAATTTCTAAAAGCTTTTAAGCTTCTAGCATAAAAGTACACTATAGGTATTTGATTCATTTATATTGCCTTGCTATGACATATCTACTTGCACTTCATCATTCTTGTATGAACAAAACACCAGATGTGGATACTCAGAGAACAAAATGCACTACCAACTGCTTATGAAATTTATTATTGAGGTGAAAACTGTGTTAATCATTCAAATTGTGTACTTATTTGCAAATATAGGAAAAACAAAACAAAGTGAAAAAGACGGGTAGAAGTATTAAAACTACAAATGAATTATAAACACCATTGGAAGCATAAGTGTTTTGATGATTATTTGCATTTCATATATCAATACAACAAAATCAAAATGTGCTACAACTTTACAAGTATTTGATGCAGTTGCACTTCAGAACATCACAAAAAGTTTACTTAAAGTAATTTCTATACAATATTGTTTGTCTTCATTTACCAAACCTATGCAGACTTGAGTCTTTTTGAAATTTAATATGAAACTCAATTACAGAAAATCCGTAAATATCCAGAGATTTAATATTTACTTTTTTAAAGAAACAAGTAAAATCCATCAATTGTGGCGAAAAAAGCCATTGCCCATTGCATCATGAAAAGGAGCAAAATAGCAATGATAACAAATAAGCTAAATTCTCTCTCGTGAACCGTGGAGATGAACTGTGATATACTTTTTTGTATAGACTAAAGAGTTTAATCGATCAAACAAGTTTGAAGCTGGTAAAAAAACGACGCACATCTGCATTCATACATGTGTAGCCGACATATAGCTCTTTCGTCGATAGTTATAAATGCATCCTCGTAGGAGCACATAACTGACAACCACAGTTGACTCGCTGTTATGAATTTAAGGTTTTTACCTTGATTTTCATCAAAAAATTGCTTGCCGAATCCCAAATACACACATACATTTTCCTCACTCTTTCCTCAGGAGGGTGGGAAATTGTGAAATTTTCGGAAAAGCGATCAATTTTGGTAAATCTCAGCGGCAACGGACGAAATCCGCCATTTTTTTGGCGTCATCAGATATCTAAGGCCGCGCTTGAGATAGCCGCTCCAGTTATTATAGAACTCAATGGTTGGGCCACGTTGGACGCCACGAACTTCATATTCACGCGAGCCTTTTAATTAACGAAATCAGATAAAGCCTTCTCTCGTCTGTCCAGGGAAATTCCATTCCTTTCAATTGTTGTAATCTTTGTCGAGGAATCCGCTCCTCAGCTGGTTCACGAACACTCTTCGTTTTGAACCTTTTATTTTACAAGCTAAACAAGCTAGACAAGTACATCACTGGAGTATTTTCACGCTATTAGAGTTAATTTTTTAGAAGTTATTTATACTAACGATAATTACATAAGTCGAGTTTTCCTTTAAGTCATTAGCAGTACTCACTCTTTCATTGCGTTTCAAGTTCTCACGCGTTGCAACAAAAATGAAGAACTGACTAAACAAACAAAGAACTTACAAAACGTACTTAAAACAAAGAAATGTTAAAGGAAAACTAACATAGTTACGACAATTTTATAGCTAAGCTAAAAAGAATGCAATATCCCACAATCTTGTTTTCTTTCTAAGTTTGTGGTTGTGCCTTTACCACGTTATTTGTGTAATCATTGTCGTCCAATTTTATATCGTCTTCGGCGTTCTTTTATCGCAGTGTGTTTGCGTGCTATCCGCTCATGCAATTAAATTTTCTGAAATACTCATAATTACCCGCTGCTGGGCTCCTTGGAGGCACGCACCTTGCACGTGTGACAGTGTTTGTGTGTCTTCAACCGCTGACCACACTCTTCCGTTATTCAGCGTTAAATCATTTCAAGGTTAAATAGCTGGAATGTTATTAAACAAAAAGAATGCTAGCATAATGCTATAACCAATAACTACAAACAATAACGACCTTATCTAACAACATTTGAGAAGTAAATGGTTTGAACCCGGGAGTATCGTTACATGTTTGTAAATGTAGATCGTCCAGGTTGGTATAGTCCTGAGAAGGATTGTTTTTGTTGTTGTTGACTACTCCTCATTTCACTCTGAAGATGACTACCGCTAAGGTTGTCGAAACGTCAGTCAACAGCAACAAAAACTGTCCTTCTCGGGACTATACCAACCTGACGATCTTTATAAACATTTGAGAAATTAACCTTCCACTCCTCTTCCTTGTAAACGAGACAAATCTACTCAAAAGCAGAGAGCCTTATACGCTACAAGTCCCGGGCTTGTGACCGGTATAGCAGAGTTAAAAGGTGAAAGGTTTATCATAGATTAATCAACTGAATATTCCTGCTCATTTTTGTTTGGAAGCATGTTGAACAGTTCATATGGACAAAGCACGAATTCCATATTAAATATCAGTAACATAATGCGGTGTTAATGTTAGACAATACATCATTGCCCTTGAGTGAAAGCATCCCGCTTTCCACTGGAAAGAATTAATCTAATATCGATGTTAAGCATAGATTGTTACAAGCATCCCGTTTGTAACATATAAGGGACTTGTAGCGTATAAGGCTTTCTGCTTTTGAATAGATTTGTCTCGTTTACAAGGAAGAGGAGTGGAAGGTTAATTTCTCAAATGTTGTTTGATAAGGTCGTTATTGTTTGTAGTTGTTGGTTATAGCATTATGCTAGCATTCTTTTTGTTTAATAACATTCCAACTATTTAACCTTGTGATTATACTTATACATATCGGCATAAAGTCAACAACAACAAAAACAGTCCTTCTCAGGACTATACCAACCTGGACGATCTACATTTATAAACATGTAACGATACTCCCGGGTTCAAACCATTTACTTTATTACAATTTAAAATGTCCTAAATATATAAACACCCTGCATCTATCCGTCAGCTTTTCATCGTCTCACTGAATTCTAAAACTTTTTAGGGTTTCCTGCAGCAAAATCTAGCGAGGGCTGTGTACAATCGAGTACAAGGCGAAAAGATGTTTACTGTATTTGCACAGGTGTATGCAAACCTCGGAGACCTTTGAGAGAATTCGAGAGCAGATCTTTACAAGCCCGAGACCGAAGGGCACTCCAGGCGGTATTTAGTGGGACCGATTTTAGAGGAGACTAAAGTTACCACTAATTACGACTTTTAGATATTGAAAGGTAAAATCAACAAAAATTCATTTAAAATAACGAAACATGCATTGAGCAAGAGTTGCTCACTTTTATCACAATCAATGTCAACCACAACAATGTATAAAACAACAAATTAAAGAAAACTTATTATTAAAGCCCTCTTTTTTATAAATACTAGTATGTATGATTCTTCTAAAACAATCTAATTGTTCAACTTTCATATTTTTGGAGTTCAACTTTTTGTAATGTTTTGGCATTTCAAACCAACCCTTCCCTATTAAACTATTCTCATGCTGATGGGCGGCGAGCAGTTCTTTTCTGTTTGATTGCATGTCTGTGTATCTAAAATTGCGTGTCTGAGCCCTTTCCTCCCAAATTTACCCGTTTGCTTTTCTTTAAGGTGCAACGAACAAAATGTTATCGTGTTGTGTCCATGCCTTTGTTGGATACATCAAAGAATTCAAAGTCTTTATCTGTCAGTAATAAATCATATATGACAAATGAGGTTTATATAAATAACAAATGCGAACGTCAACTGATGTCCCAGAAAGTCCCTCCCATGCAAGAGACAAATTCTTAGGAGATTTAACCTTTCCCCAACCCCATTAGGAATTTCCATCTCTCAAGCCTTTTAAAAACGATTTTTACAGGTATTTTGAGCTATCTATGAAGACTGGCCCACTTCATCGTCAAACAGCTGTTAGGTAAGTTTTCCTATGCATGTCGATATGAAATATGCTCATGAGAGTAAAGGAAAAATATTCGTTTGTTTATCTTCATTTACGAAACAAACATTCTTATTCGTCACGACAAGATTGCGTCACAAGGGTCTTGTACATAAGGATGTTTGAAACACATTATTTTAGTCCGATCTTCTCCTTTCCAACGTGCCATACTGTTCGGACATATCGTATCTTTGAGAATCCCAAATTCGATTCTTTTCTTGCAGAGAAAACCCAAAAGGTCTCTCAAACCTAAATTCACTTTAGCATTTTGTAAGTTGATCAACCGACTGGCAAGCTCCCAATTTGGTTGTGGTGTCACGCCTCGGTTCTTGAGGAAATCTCCACTGGGTCCCAGCCCACTTTTGCCTTAAGGTATATTTCATAATAAAATATAAAGGATGTCATTCTTTTTGCTGATAATTGAAACTCTTATTGTGGGACAGGTTGCAAGATGACTAAATTTTGCTCACTAGCACAAATAATTGATCGATAATTGGGGTAGGTAATATTCATACATGCATGTCATAGTTTGCAGAAAACAATTGATTTCAAAGGAACTTAATTCGGCAGAACATGTGTATCCCCCCTCTCAATTATCGAACTGGCTGCGCCACAGATATTACTAGTGATGTTTTCAAACATATGAAAAAAGTGGTTTGATTATATGACAGACGTCACTTTTGAAATAGCGTGCTTCGATTGGCTCAAAAACATTTTTGCCTCTCAGAAGCAGATTTCACTCTTATATATTTTCAGTTTTGCCAAAGAAGGCTTTCCTCACTTTTAACTATGGAATTTCGGCGAAGCGAAGCATCTGGTAGATTGGTTTCTACACAGCAAATATGGTAGACACTGACCTACATGCCACAGGCGACTTAAAGTCGGCACGACGATCCTGAAGCCAGTGTTGTCGTTATGTTTCCCTAGTACCAGTCCCATAGACTCACACCAATCATCTTGTTTGTCGGCAAAAAAATCCATTTCTAGGGATTTGAAATATAACCACGTAGACTGGTTCAAGCCATACGCGATCCCGCGCAAAGCTCGCGATGTTCGCACAACAAACGTGTCCGGATGCGCGTTGATCATGTTCTCTCCACCCCAACCTCCGAGTGCAAACTGTAAGATACCTTTGTTACGACGTTTTATCTCGCTCGAGTACCACATGACCTTGACGAAGTCCGGTGATAGGACTGCATCTTCCTCGAGGAACAAAATATCACGTTCGTAACCATGCAACAGGCCATTGAAGATTGTCTCTGTACATTAAAGAGAAAGGAGATGATATAGGTTAGTGATTGAGTTTTTTAGTTCAAAATGTTGATGATTGTCCGAATGCAACTGTAATTTACGTAATTTTCAGTGAGGAATTTAATTCTCGTTATTACATTGGTGAATCTATTTGCAAAGGATTAAAGTACATACACTTTCTGACACGAAAGACAAATGCAGCTCAATAAATTTGAATGATTTAGAAAACATATTAGTCGTTGCCATGCGTGTTTAAACAAATACCAAAGAGCATTAAATTTTACAGGGAATGAATGGATTTACAGGGGTGCGTATCCGTCCTAATCTTGGCGAATGGGGTTGCTAGAGTCACTGACTATCTCCCAATCATTGTATAAAAATATCAGAATGAGACAAAAAGCAACATTTACAAAGAAGCCCCAAATATCTAATCCAAAAAAGATAATAAGATAATAACATCTTGTATAGAAATGAAGGTATGTTCTTTTTTCTGAAAAAATTTCTAAATTTTTGAGCTGCATGCAAAGGTGTATAATCTAGATAAATTTTGTAAAAATTACGCACCATCGTAAGTCGCATTGTAGACCGTCTCTAGTACGAACCACCAGTGTAATTTTAATCTTAAAACATAATTTTCATTTAGTTTGCCTTTTTGCGCCTTTTTCTTAACTACCCATACGTAAGTTTGACATACAGAGACGTCGTCTATGGCTTCCAATATTTCCTTTACATCTTGCTCTGTCGTCTTCGGGGTACGGTCTAAGGCAAAAACACAGACTGAAGATTTATCGATGTCTTTAGAAGCTACTGCAATGGATGCGAGGCACTTTCGAAGATACTGCGTACGGTACGACACGAAGAAGACAAAGACTCCTCGCCAAGGTTTGAATTCAGACCATAGTGGCGTTGAATATCGTTCGATCCATTTCGGTGGTACTTCCAATTTTTGTCTCATCAAGTCTAAAATAAGATCTCTTACCACGTCGATTCTGTTGCCCATTTTTCTCATTTCTATTGCACTTTCTTTAAATTGCGATTCGGTAGATGAAACATGTCTTTCAGCCATCTGATGCTCAGACGAGAACTGTCGGAGCAGAAATATGCAAAACAGCAACAGGAAAACGATGATGAGTAAAAGGATTCGTAATTTAGACATTTGAACGAATGTTCTTTATTTCGTAGCGTCTATTCATTAAAAATACGATACATTTGCTTTTGCATCAGAGGTTACTATATCAAATTATACCTTGGTTTTGGCCGCCGCATGATTGCTTAACTGTTTCTTTGTGACTTAATTATTTACATCAACTTTATACATTTACATATCACGAAATATTTGTTCGACCTTTTCACCAATCTAATCGTTCAATTATCCTCAATGACGTTGCCTTTAAAATCCCTGAAAGATTGACCAGCTTCAACGGTAATCTAAAATCAAGTGTGAAATATGAATGTGTTTGTCGAAATGTCGAAATTCAACACCCGTATATGCATGACGTGTGGCAATTAAACACAACAATACGTGATTTGAAAATAATCCAATTTAGCGTTAAAAACAGTGTCTTGACTTTGTCTGGACGCTGAAAATCTCGTTTGGCACCTTTCTATTCATAGGCGTACGAACGCCTTAATTTTTTAAGTGGCAGAAGCTTACTTGCTCAAATTTCTAATTCATGAATTGCATGTTAAATATGCATGCATTGCAAATCAGCTTGTTAAGACAAGTACATCGCAGTGGCGTGCGGTCATGCAAGCGTAGGCAAGCGCCGCTTGCCTACGCTTTTACCGAACAAAAATTTACTGGATCAATCTCTGAGCAAAATCAGTTTAAATTTTTCTGTTCTAAACAATGTCAATGTAATGTTTTGGCTAAATTGTCTTTACAGTTGAAATGCTTGCAATTTATACGCGATTTACTGTCGTGGTTTTCGGTTTCACTTTGCTACACTTGTAAGATGAGTCAAGTGTATTAAATTAAGTGGATGAAATTAATTATTTATTAACCAAGGCAAGCGCGCTTGCCTTCGGAGCTCAATTTGAACATTTGAGCATGCGTTAATCTAGATTTGGAGGCTTCTTATTCGAGGAATATCGAGAAGCGCCGCTTGATAGCGATTGGTCAACAGCCCTTAGAAGCGCCGCTTGATAGCGATTGGTCAACAGTCTTGTACGCTCGCAATTTTAAACACATATCAGCGCACGAATAATATTCGTATATTCAACACATTGGACATCCGAATTATTCACGCCGTTTATATTATCGTTTATTAAAAGATGACTGAGAGCGAAAGGTAATGTTCTGATTTCTAAGGTGCTTTACTGGTTATTTTATTATTTTCTGCGCACAATGTGCGTAAACAAGCAGGGGCCGCAGTCTGCAGAGATATCGACCAGGCTGGAAAGTATGTCTTCTGCGCACCGAAGATTTTTTTTTAACAATATTATTGCACACCAGGCATATTTGGGCATGGCAAAATTCAGCCATATTTGTGGGCGTGGCAGGGTAATTCAATGAGGCATATAGATCTATGAACCAAAACCTCATTAGATTGGCCTCCAGTTTTCTTGTGAGTACCGATAAGACTATAAAATCCTTCTACTATAGCCTCACAACCACTTGTGGAAAGAGCTACGTCAAGGGCAATTCACATTTCTTGGCGAATTGACTTTATTATATCTTCATTTGTGTACATGCTAGTGTACACAAATTCTTCGTTGATCCTTGCTTTCAATGCCTTTCCCGAAGAAAATTTCAGAGTAAACCACAAATCTAGTGCAGGATCCTCAATACATTTAAGGAAATTAGCTGCTCCTTTTCAAATTCTGTCACTGGTTGGTCCTTAATAATTTAATTGACAGTTCTGTGTAAACGTGGGCGAAATTTGAGATGTTCACATCCAATTCAAATGGAAGTTATGCGTTGAGAAATGACATTTTTGTAAACAGTAACATCCGATATTTTAATAGCAACAAAGGCTTAGAAAGCAAGATTCAGTCTCTTGCAATATCACACACTGTATCATCAATATTCCTTAAATTACTATTTTTCCTTCCAAAGATTTTGCCACGTACAACATGTTTGACACAACAAAACACTGAAAAGAGCCTGTGTACACCGAGATTAGCGATACTTCGTATATTAATTTAATATTATTATGGTTTGATCGTCATATGCGCACCAGTGCACCATAAAATTTATTTTGCACACCAGCAGACCAGTTATTTCATAGTGCGCACCGGAGATCTCGTCGAAAAACGACATACTTTCCAGTCTGGGATATCGAAATGCACGCAAACGTGTGTTGTGGTAAAGTATGACTAGCATTATGACCAAAACACTATGCTCTTGTCAGTCTTGTGTCGTTAAATTCGTATTAATTGACTAAAAATAAAAGGTACAAGATACTAAATAATAAACACGAATCTCCGATATTCTGAAACGTACGAGTTAGTGCCAGACACATTTTGAAGAACGGGAGAACACGTTGCCATGACGTCATTATACCAAAATATAAACATTAAACAACGCCATGGCCTCAGTTTGTAACACACCGTGCCAATTTTGTGCACGAAACTGGCTGTTCTTAATTGTTATAATCACGACTGCTACAATACATTTCGCGCCTATTGTCTTGCAATTTTCTGTATGTAGAAGATATTATCTGTAGCGTGTAATACAAGATTATGATATTGACAAGAGCTTCCTTTTGCCTAGTAGTTTTGATATTTGTATCCGGTAGATTTTGGCGTTATATATAAGTCTTTCGTATGAGCTCCGAACGTGAGTTCAATGTACTAGAACGCTACTAAATTTTGTGATTATTTTATTCACTAGCGAAGAAGTTATTTACAACAGTCGTGAGTGTTCTATGTGTTAGAATTTATTTACAGGCTTTTTATATATTTGGTTAAAGAAGGTGCAGTTATTACACAGCGGATAATGTACTTGAAATTTGAGTAGTTTTACGTAATTATAAAGTTAAGTGCGTAAGTTTAAGTAGCGCGTTTGAGTAAGTGTAGGATTGGCTATTTCCTCTATTGCTTATACATGAATCTAGATGAGTAATGTATGCACGTTATGTACAGGGGCGGATCTAGACCGATGCAACCGATGCGAATGCATCGGTCAAAATATTTAGATATTAAAATCTGCGAGTTTGCATTTTAATGAAATAAATAGCAAATATTATTTTCGAATTATTTAAAACGCACATTTGACAGTGATATATTGTTTAGTTAACTTATAGATTTAGCAGTTTTAAGCTAAAATTTGTTCTAGAAATAACATTTGTGTTCTCCGATAATTTTGTCGTATTCCATGACACAAATAGCGAAAGAAAAGTCGATAAAATTTAGCGAAATTTTGTCGTGAATACATAATTAGTAAGTAATTTAATAGTATTCTGCCAGCACGTCACGGTAGATGGAAGAGGCATCGCTACGTCACAGTAGATTTGCGATGCATCGGTCGATGCATCGGTCCCGAGTCCTTTTCCGCGTGAAATCTACTGTGACATCAGCAAAACCATTGTTTTAGGGCCTCACGTCACGGTAGATTTTGCCGCTGAGCGATGCATTTTCATAATTTTGTGATTGTGGGCACATGGCACCGATGCATTCAACTTTGAACTTCAAAGTTGAATGCATTGTTATTGATCACTTGATATAACTCGCAATCATCGATCGAAGTCATGGCTGTCGAGAATATCAAACACGATCTGTGTACTCTGCTTCGTGAAGAGAAGTCATTTGATATTAATGGAGTGCGTCGAACCTATGAAACGAGCTGCTACTTTTATTTCAAAATCTCTCCTTGGAATCCCTTTTCAAAGGGTAAAATGGAGAGATATGTCAAGTGAAATGTTAATACCTAAGCACTTGACAATTCATTGGCAAAGTGGAGAACTAAGAGCTTTAAAGTAAGTAAATTTATGCTTGCATGTTTTGGAGCGATTATAGAATACCCGTCCATTTTAAAGGCACCCATACAGGCTTAAGCCTTCAACAAGGCATATTATAAAAGTAGATAGTGAGTGGACGGGTATTCTATAATCTAGCACATGTTTTAAATGTAAATAGTGTACTCATTTCAGAACGACGAACAATCATCATAAAATATACACGATGTCATATTACTTATACAGCACTTATACTTGTATTCATATGTAATATAATACAATCGCTGAAAAATGCTTCTGGATAGTGAAAATTCAGGATTTTCTGGAGCATGCCCCAGACCCCAGGTGGCTCGCGCCTTCGGCGCTCGCAATGCATCGGTCAGCTAAGGAGCTGGATCCGCGCCTGGTTATGTACGTCACTACAAGATATCATGTAACTGATGTAAGGTATAAATAAGATTGATGTTCCTATAAAATATATAGCATAGGAATTTTCATCCTTTTATGTTCTACTTCTACATTCGGTATTTTCACGACACCTGTACAACATGACTGAATGCATTGTGGAATCGCTGTTATCCCGCTCATTTGGATTGAGACCTTTTTGAAGATAAGATTCAAGAACAACGAACAAAATTCGTAGATTATTGGAATTTAACGTCAAGTATCGTCAAAGTAGCACTGAAACGCGGGCAAAGTGAAGAGGATGTAAAGGCGTCCTTCCGTCAAATGTTTTTCTGTGTAGTCAATACCATTGTCATGCAGATTGACTCTAGATTCGAAAGTCTTAACAGCAGAGCATTCGTTTCTTTGTTGGATCATTCAAAGCACGAATTGTACAGCCGGAATTTTCCCGAACGAGAGCTGCAATCGTTGCAAGATTCATATGGAACATTCTTTAATCTTCAAGTACTAAAAAGTGAACTAATCGTTGTATACGCATCTGCCGAGCTCAAATCGAAACCTGTTTTTGATATGATATCAAAAATAATCGAACTTGACTTGAAAGCCTGTTTTCCAGAGGTGTACCGATTGTGTCAGCTCATTCTTACTATGCCAAGTACGTCCTCCTCTGCAGAAAGATCATTTTCGGCTCTCAAGCGTATCAAAACGTATCTTTGCAGTACACAAGGGCAAGAGCGACTTTCTTGGTAAGTTTGCAGGGGAAGCCACGATTCTATGAGGACGTTATAAAGGAGTTTTGCGCAAAGGAAAGACGGATGGAATTTACATTTAAGTAAATCTGTTGTAGGATTTTGGACTATTTCGTTCTGTTACTTCTTCACTACAATAGAAATGCACGCGTAGCCATTTACTTAAAACGACTTTATATCACAATACCACATGTAATACTTTTAAACCGTAATTGTGATATATACTCTATAAAAGTTTTTGAATTTTTTAGATTTTGTCAATACTGTTTCAGTCATGACAGATACATTTTTTTCGACAAAGTACTCCCAGAAATCGCGAGAAATGCGCTCCAGTAGCCTTCAAAATCCAAAAATTTTTCCAGACCCCCTAGACAGGTCACTCGCGGCAAGCCGCGAACCTCACCCCAAGCGCTTGCCTATTAAATTCGGTCACCGCCATTGAGTTCTATATACCTGGAGCGGCTAACTTTACTGGGGCGGGACGCCAAAAATGGCGGCCAAGGACGTATTTCCTTGAAATGATCGCTTTGCAGAAAATAATATTCTCGACCTCCCCTGGTGTCTATAGTAAATTATAAAGAATTTTT